CATACATATTTCTATTTCTACAGTAAAGGCATTGTTATACACTTTTATCATTAATTAATGCTGTCTCTAATATTTATATGCAATGAATGTCACTTTAAATGTGAATTAGAGAATAACAGGACTTCTCTTTTTCTTGTATGGAGCTGCCACTGTGGCAAAATGGAGTTTTAAGTAGCATGTGTCCAAAATGGTTTGATACAAGCAAATTTCTATATTGTGATTTACACCAATATGTTTCCAAATATTCCCAAAGGGAAGCACTTCCTTTTAAAGTATGTTAAACTCAACATAAGCTGTGACATTTTAAATATCTGTTATTGGCTAAGAACTCATGAGGGGCTTTCCTAGCATCTGAAAAGCAGTTAAAGACTATTCTTAAAGTTGAAGCCCCTCATATCAGTTATGAGAAAGGCATGAAGGTTTTCACCATGTCTTGCAGCCATCTAATGATAAAAGTTAGAATTCATGCGTCTTTTGTTGTTTGTTGTTATTGTTTAATTTCTAACACTCCATATGTTATTTTATTTGTTTGTTTGCTTGTTTGAGACTGGGTCACACTGTGTAGTTCAGGCTGGCCTTGAACTCACTGCAATCCTCCTACCTCAGCCTCCCAAGTATTAGGGTTACAAGTGTGACCCACCACACCCAGCTCCATGTGCTACTTTTGCAATCAACTTCCTATGCATAAATAGAAAGCTAACTTGTTGATTTGTATTATTTTGTCTTGAGACTCTGTATCACTTTGAATGTTCTTGCTTTGATTTGTTCATGTTTATGATACTGGTATGCTGCTATTGTTCTATTTGTTTGTTTGTTTGCTTCTCATTTACTACTCTCTTTAAAATAGAAAAAAGTCTTTTAAATTTCCATTTGACCCAAATATTTACTTAATATTTATACAGCATAGACAGTGAGTTTGGTGTAGTGATCTGAGTTGTGTAAGTAACTGTAATAGTTGCTATCTGCCACAAATTCTTTAAAAACTACCTGGAAATGTACCAAGTACACAAACCGCAATAGTAATTAGCAGAACGTAGTTAGTATCATGGGAAAGCAAGAAAATATGACAATAGATAATTATTTTCTGGACATGCACAAAAATCTTATATCTGTTAACCAATTATCAAATCTGTGCTCATCATGTAACATGTGTAACAAGAATTAAGAATGTGATTAGAAAAATTAAAGAAGAGCTAGACATTTATAATCTGTTTATGTAATGAGTTGCACAAACACCTATGTCTTTAAAGGTCAGAATAATATTTAAGTGCCAAGTATAACGTAACAATGTGCATGTTACACAGATTTTTAAAAAGAGAGAATTTTGTGGACGGACACGAAGTATCTACATGGACTTCAAGGAAAACGTAGATTTGACTTTCCAGGGTTTATTGTTAGCAATGATACCATACGAGATATATAGACATGTTTCAATGCACCTGCATTCCTTAATATATACTCACTGGAAAAACTGTATAAGTACAGTTTTCCAATCAGTAGCTCATGCGCAATTAGGACAAAATTACATTATAATATCAATAGGCCTCTATAGAATCATTCAGCATGTGATTACTTCATTCTTCAGCTACTTGGTTAAGACAACTTTAATTTATTTAATCCATTAACCCAGTAAGCATATAAAAATTCAGCAGATCTGTACTAATCTTAGTCATATCCTGTGATGACTTAAGAATTGTACTAAGCTGCATTTATTCCACAAGTGTCTTATTGAATCCTCACTGAAATCAATATTGCCTTCATTCATTTGAGCAATGTATATTTTAGCTGAAAACCCTTTTCGTTTTCTTACCTGGCATTTGCGTATGTTACTGCATTATGGGTGAATAAATATCTTTTCATCATCTGTCTTAAAAATCCAAGACAAGAAGAAGTATGGTGTATGCCTAAACATGGTGTCTCACTAACGAAACGCTTAATACATAGACAATCTTCTAATTTGATTGCAAGGAAAGGTCCAGGTATCACAGATGGGATGAGTAGGTGTTGACAGCATGAATCTTGTGTGATTATTTATTACTATGATCTTCATCTCCTCTGAGAAAAAAGAAAGAAACAAGCACAAAGACTGCAAAACAAAGCAGCTAACATGAAGAGGTTATTATATATCCTACTCCAAAATAGGCCAGTAAGAAGATGTGGCATCACGGAGTACAATGACAGCCTATCCATTCTGTTTCTTCAAATTCAAGGAACTGGCTTAGGTAGTGAGCAAGATTCATACTTCCTATTCTTTACCATTTCTGAGCCAAATGAGAACAAATGAGAAAAGAATATGATATTTATATGGTTTAGATTATGTGACAGAAATAGTGAAGATAGTGGCTTGAATAGTTTTTAGAACAGTTGCTTTGAAATTTCTAGTTTTTTGCATTTTACCTTCTAGTACTCAAATCATTTTACAGTACAACACAACTCTCCCAAACTCCTAAACACTGTAAGAAAAGCTTCACTAGTAAAAATTTACAATATGCAATGTTCTTTAATAGTTTTCTATGCTGCTCAATTCCATTTCAATTTATTCCATTAAAATAAGTTCAAGTTTGCTGAACAATCAAATTGATTTCATCACTGTTTCTGCCAGCATTATTCCCATCACATTATTAATCTAGGCTGAGGACTACTTTTCTCACTTGTAGAATGCAGATAATAATATTGCTTCTTCTGCAGGGAATTTTTTTATAGCATTAAGGAAAATACTACAGTGAGTGCTGTGCTTAGGGCTTGGTGTTTTATACTAAGTTGAATAGTTATTTTATAGTTATTATCTTGGCTGTTTTCATTGTCATATCACTTCAGGTATTTGGAAACTATTAGCTTATGTTAAAATTCTAATAGGTATGCCACAAATAAAGTTTCTAACTTTACTATCAGTAGCCATGGAAAAAGGAAAAAAACAGGAATGAATAGACGATTTCATACTGAAATTGGATAGGTACACTCATTGGACACGAGGTGGGGTTCTCGGGCCCCATCCATGACTTGTGACCCATCAGAGGTGAAGATGTGTCTTTCTATGTCTTTCGCTGTTACCACTGAGTGGAATGCACTTTTCCCTTTCTTACCCTCTACTTTTACTATCTCAGAGACAATGTGCTGTGACGGCAGGGGCAGCCAGCTCGTCTCCGCAATGGAAAAACTCCTGACCTATATCTTATATAAGATATATTATTCCACCGAGCTGGAGGCGGGAAGGGAGGATGGTTTTGGCATTAGATTCTCCTAAAGAGCACAGCAGCTCGGTCCCTCACATGTCAATTCCCAGAAGCGTCCTCATTCCCATGAGAATCTAGTGCCTCTGCTGATCTGATGGGAGGCAGAGCTCAGGTAGAGATGCAAGCAATGGGAGTGGCCTAAGCACAGACAAAGCTTTGCTTGGCAACCTGCAGCTCACTTCCTGCTGTGGGGACCAGTTCCTACCAGGGCTTGGGCAGGTACTGGTCCTTGGCCCAGGGGTTGGAAAAATCTGTCCAAAAACATAAGAAGTCTCAACACAATGCCGTTACTCGTGACCCAGTGGAAAATTACCAACTCCTAGGGCAGCTCAGTGGAGACACGAAAGCTACTCAGACTTTTGTGAACTGGCCTCTTTGAGGTCTGTCAGGCCTATATCCCATTCATGTCTTTCTCTCCTCAAGCTGGAGCCCCTTCTCTATTCTCCTTTGTTCTCAGAACTTTTATGTGTAAATTCCTGTGCTGCATTAATTTTTATCTCCAGGGTCACTGGAGTAAGTTCCCATGTGTGTTCCGTATCCACACTTTTTCCAGATACTCAAACATTCAGTATTTTTTGTTGTTTTTCATTTCCTCTGCAGTCTTTTAATTTCATACTTAATCTCAGTAGTGATTAAGGGATGCAGAAAATATTAACACTGGCATTTCATTTAGATGCTTCCATGAGGGGATGTACATGACAGGTTCATTCTTCTAACTTAGCTGTAATGAAAGTTATCTTGTCTTCTTCAGCAAGAAAAATATGAACAGAAGCCTGTGTTTTCCCTCACCCCTAATATTTGTACCAAAAGAAAAGTGCAATAAACTAAAATACATCTTTTGACTTTTAAAATAATTCTGATTTGAATTCTTAAATCACTATTTACATATAAGGAAAAGCAAAAGTATTTTGTTTAATTTCTATCTCTTTAGATTACAGATGCAAGTATTTTCCTTAAGATAAAATTCATTGTAGATATTGAGACAGGCTAGAGGAGATTAACAGAGGTAAAAAGGAGGCAAGGAAAATCATAATTTTAAAATTATACATTGTAAAACTGCAGCTTCAGGACAAAGTTTTTCAACATTACAATGCTTTTTTTCTACCATAGCCTGTTCTTCTTTTTTTTTTTTCTTTTGGGATATAGACTCCAATAATTATAAATTCTTAAATTCAGGCCAGGTATCACAGAACCATAATCCCAGCACTTTGGGAGTCTGACTAAGAAAAATCTTAAATTCATTTCTTGCTTGAGCAAATTAACAAGACATTCTCTCAAAGTAAAAATAAAAATAAAAATAAAAATGAAAATAAAAATAACAGAGGCTAAGGATGTACCTCAGTGGTAGTACCCCTAGAATTGATGGCACACACATACAATTCCTAAGAGTCTTAAAGATATAATAAGCCTATAAATTAGGTCTGACCTATATCTTGAGCCCATACTTATCCGATACTATACGTGGGAAATCATGGTAACTTTATGATTGTTTATCTAAGGAGACTTTACAGCAGGGTGATGAGTCTATAATAGAGTATTAACTTTTGACCTCCAAGCTATATATATACATCACTAGATGATCTAACCACTCATCATGTCTTCATGCTATTTCTTCCCCATCACAGTATAATGCAAAAGTCCCTTTTAAGCACAATGTGTGTGTATTTATTTATCTCCGACTCCCTTGATCACTAACGCTAATTAGCCTGTGTATATATTTGTTAATTAATTCTACTTGTAAGGAATGTTTATTTTTAACAATGCCAGGAACACTGAACTTCATGGAAGAAAACATTCCTCAGCCCTCAAACAATCCTTGCATATCTTCAGAACTGAGACGGATGGACAATGCAACCACTGTGAGCTGCTGACAGTTTTCCTGAGGTGATCTTCCCCTAGCCCTCTTGACATTAAAAGCAACTAAACTGCCGCTTTTCTCCTGGCCAGTGCATTCCTCTCTTGGAACTTCCCTGCTGCTTACGTGCAGTATCAGTGAACACTTATCTTTTCTACATTCCTTGAATACTGGTAACTTTTTTTTTTACTACCCATAGCACTGGTCTCTCATACACTGGGTCTCACACAGCACTACAGATTCACACATCCTAGATGCTCATCCTTAAGGAAATAGCACTAGGAATTGAGAAGCACAACTCCAACTTCCAAATAAGTGCCAACAGCTTGCATTCTAGCCTAGTGGACCAATGGCAACATGGCCGACACTAAGAATACACACCCTAGATCATCCTTCTTGACTGATTTCCTCAAGAAGACACAAAACTTCCAATTCCAGAGCATACTGCACCTCTTTGCTGAGGACCTATACTCTACATTCCCTGGGTGTGTACATCTTTACCTCTGCCTAAAAGTATCTGTCCATGCCTCCCACTGACCGGCCCGGAATTACTTTTCTATGACAAGTCAAGAGTGCATTCCATGGTTAAGGGTGAATGGGGTCTCCATCTGCAATTTGGGGAGACACTGATGGGTCCCCTCCAGGGACAATAAAATTATAAACCAGGAGCAAAAGTATTAGAAATAAAAAAGGTATTTGTTTGTGAGCTATACGTTAATATTCCTTGCAATGTGTATGCGCATAGGATGCAGAGAATAATTTGTTTACTATTTCTGCTGTGAGTTATCAGGAATCTGAACATATTCAAACATAACAGCAGAGAGATACAATGCCCAGCACTCAGTGGGCGATAAGAGTAATGCTGTTTCCCGAGGTGCAGTTTACAGTTGTCTTTTAATCATGCAAGATTCTGAGGGTTTTTTTTTTCCATCTAGACTAATATAGCTTGCTTTCAATCGTATCCACCCTGAGCCCATAATCCTTTCCTTTTCTCATTTAAAATCACCATGTCTTATATCGGTATCAACGTTTCCAGAGGTATATTCAGTATGCCCACAGGGGACACGACACTCGCTTCACTCTGTTTGAATGGTGCTTAAATCACCGCGTCATCCGCCCACAACACTTAGCATTTTCCTATGGAAAAAGCTTTCCTTCCCATCATCTTCTCTGGAAGAGAAGAAGGCTACCGTCCTGGTCATAACTCCTCATCAAACGGGTTTTTAGACCGCACTGGGGAAAGTGAAATAAACTCACCTGGCATGCCTACTGCGTAGCAGGCTACAAACAGTATAATGTGAACTTTCACAGCTCTATGAGACAGATAGCATAATACACATTCAATGCAGAAGAAAATGAGAGCAAAATGAGATTTTATCACTTATCAAAAGTGGCACAAGTAAGTTCTTTACATGGGATTCCCACAGGCTCTGCTCGATGCCATGGCATGGAGTCACTGTGACTAAGTGGAGGAAAAGCTGGCTTGTGCTCACTCTCTCTCTCTCTCTCTCTTCCCATACTGGGGAAGCCCCTGAAGGTCTTGACAGTCTCCTCATGGTCCTGGTACAAGAATTATGTTATCTCTTAGATGGCCTCAGCCGTTTAAAGCCCTTTACCTGAGTTCCCACTTTAAAAAACTTTGGAGGGATTAGAATCTGCTGTGGACATACTGATGCCAGTGTAAGCCACACACACCAGAGAGCGTGGAAAGCTTCCTCAGTGTTATGTCTGTAGGGAGGTTCTGCACATGGAATGCAAAATGCACATGAAGAAAACCTCCCTGCCAGAGTTCTGCCAACCTGGTCTTTGTGGGATCCTGAGTCTAGACTCTACTTCCACGGTGGTTCAACACAATCACCTTGCAGAATTATGGACAGCTGAGTGAGACAGAAATTCATATGCAGAGAGAGATTGGGCACTCAAGGAAGTCAGCACAAAAGACGAAACACACAAAGACCATGGCCGGAGGTGACTCAAGAGAGCCAGGCTTTGAGATGGAGTCGCCATAGCTGGGCCTGTAGGCCTCCCAGAAGATAAATAGCAGCTTGAGATTATGCTGTACTTAGCACCGACTGGCCCAGCGAGTCCAGACAGGCCTTAAGATGCACGCGTGGGTGACCAGAATACCCAGACCCAGCTCTTTCCAAATATGCCTTTATTCTTTCTATGCATCTTTGCCACATGACTTTGTTTCCCCGTTGGATCAGTATTAGCAAAGCAACTATGCTTGTAATCCCCAACGTTTCATTCAAATTTCTGGAATACTACTGACCACAATGTAATATACATGCATTACCCCATATGGCACATTTTCAGACCTCAGTCCTGCTGACTTTCTGGGCTATCTAATATATTCTTTTTTGGCATTGCTGTGTGATGTAGGTTGCTTAGCACATGCCTAATCCTTTTGCACTTGATAAGAGTAACAACTGCTCTTTGATTGGGACAATGGAATAAAGTCTCTAGATATTATCCACTGAGAGTGTGCAAAGTTGTCCACAATTAAGAACCAATGCTTGAGCCTTTGAAAGTGGCACATGCTTGTAATATCAACACTTGAGAGACTGAGGCAGGAGCATCCCAAGTTTGAGGCAAGGCTGGACTACACAGCAATATGTTGAAAGATTCCTCAGAAAGCTAAACACAGAAATTTCATTTGATCCATGTATTCCCCTTCTAGGTATCTTCTCAGAAGAGTTAGAGATGCCATACTACAGTGACACATGCATATCGATATTTATACGATGGTGTACTACTTGTTTATTAAACAAGGATAAATTTGAGTCATTCGTAAGAACACACCTTGAGACTACAAAGTGAATTAAATAAAACACACACAATCTCACTTATGTGAGAAACCCAAACATATAAATAAATAAAAACAAACTAAAAGATGGAAAATAGGAAATGGGGAGTTAGATCATTTATAAATGGGAATGGAGCCACATAATGGAAAGAGAACAAGGGGGAGAGAGGCAATGAAAACAATTCAGGTATGCTGTGCACATGCAGTGCCTCTCTGTGAGAAATGGGATCATATGTATTCCAAACATGTACTAATAAAAATTGGAAAAAATAAAAAATAAATAAATAAGCAAACAATAGAGTCATTACTTGAAATTAGCCTAACCACAAAGATGGATACTACTGTTGCCATTGTTGTTTTCATTCTATTCACCTAGAAAAATCAGGCCCAAAGCAAATAGTCAACTATAATCTTTCAGTTGGAATTAGTCTCATTTCCCAATTAATAGATAGGGTTCTACAAAACATACTGAAGGCACACCTCATTCAAAAATGAAAAGGAGTCTGCTAAATTACAGTACCAAGTGAAAACAAGTGAGTTGAAAACTTAGGGGATGTGTTTCTTCTCTATTTAAAAAATAAATGAATGATATAGTTATATACAAATATTTGTAGAATATATCATATATATTCATGTAAATAGATAGATAGATATTGTATAGACAACACACATACAAATAATGATCTTTACTGAGAAACTGCATTCAGAATATCAGATATTACTAATGCACAGATGGTGGAGTAGCTTAGGGGCAGAGTTCTTGAATGACTCTATCTCGTACAGGGCAAAACAAACAAACAAAAGGAGAAAGACAGAGAAAGTGAGAGAAAGAGAAAGAGAGTGAGAAAGGACAAAGAAAGACTGATGTTCTGATGTCCCTATTGTTAAACACATCACATCTAAATTTTCTGTCCATTAAAAAATAAATTGTGAAATGTTAATATTTTCCCCAAAGACTCATTTATAAATAAAGTGATGTTCATTTTGAAGTTTCTTATACTGCATATTGTTGTCTTCAGATCAGTTGTTCTGATTACCAGACACAAGCATACAAAACCGGTCAAGCAAAAAAGAAAATTTTAAGCATTGACTGTTCCTTTCAATAAACCACAGATATGAGCAGTCCACCTATCCCAGCTATCCTTGTATATACATATAAATTTTGCTTTTCATTTTAAAGAGGAAAAAAATAAAAATCAGAGGAAGGTGATTAAATAAGGAAGCAGATTCTATGCTACTGCCTTTTTCCTTGATAATATATTTACCACTTTCCATTTCTGTCCAAACTCATTTAAAGTCATCTAAGTTTGCTGATTTTCGTACTGTGTCTCACCAATTACACGAACTAAAAACCTGAACACCTGGAAACTTAGTGTCAGCTTCTAATGAGAAGATTTTATCTACCTCAAAAATCAACTCACCTTGAATATTGCCATTTATTCCCTGAGCTGAAGTTTTACTTAAAATTTTAAAAGTGAGTAGGCTAGTCTTTTCATGTTTAGGTGGTTTCAAATCCATGAATATCTTTTAGTGTCTTTGGGATGCTACAGGAAAAAGTATTGCATTGGTTAAGAGCAAGTCACTGTACAAGAAAGAAGTTAAAAAACAGAACCAGATCCCCCTAAGAAGCTAGAAAGGAGGTCACACAGAACAAGTATGCATCATCTCTTCCAACTGATAAAGGGCCATTATTTCACTGATCACTTTTTACTGGCTGCATCTTTTCAGCTTTAGATACATTAATTGTACTTTTGACTATAATGCTATGAACTGGGAATTATTCTTGCTGCTATAAACAGGAAGTAGCAAATTTAACCACTCAGTGGGCAAGGCGAACTTTGTCCCATGATTCCACGCTAATCAAAGGTGTCTCAGAGCGCACAGCGGTTTGCATTGCACCCACTCTTGCAGATATCAACCACATTTAGATGGAAGCCCACAGGGATGATTCCAAACCACCACACTCTCTGACCTCACACCATCACCCCGATCCCATGTCCAAAGGTTTGCTCAAATTAAAGTAAAACTAACTGAAATGCAATTGCTCTTGGACAACAGTTCAACTCAGAGGTCAAGGGGCCTGAATACCTGAGATAAGAAACAAACAAAAAAACAGGACTTTTTCTGCTCAATTTGCATCAGGGAATCTTCTGTCTTCTTTTCTTCAATTACAAGAAGAAATTCATTATCTTAAATAAGTTACTTTAACACAAAACAGTTTACAGGGTACCTGACGCAATTTTTAAAGCTTAGGATGCACTGATAAGC